AATTAGGAGACTAACAAAAAACAACTATTTTGGTATTATATAGTATTTTATGCCTTCAGAGTGCTGTACAGATATCCTCACAACAACTCTGCAAGGAAAAGCAAAATACTATTAACCCCATTTCACAGATGGGGAAACTTATAGAGAGTGAAATCCTACCCCCTCACTGAAGAAAATGGCATATCTCCCCTTGCTTTTAGTAGGCTCAGTTCACCCGCAGAGATTCCCCACATCTCTGGGGATATTGCCATTTAAGTCAATGGGAGCAGGAACATAAATCAACGTATTTAAATGGCAGCTTACTTAAGCATTTTAAAAATGCTTCTTGAAGATGCTATCTGCATCTTTTAGAGACTTAAAAATCTGGTCCTCAATGAAACAATGAGGAGCCCTTTGACACTTTAAAGACTAACGAATGTATCAGGGCATAAGCATTTTGTGAGCTGGAACCTACTTATAATATTCCTTAGTGAGCTTTAACACAGTGCTGTTTCAAACAGCAGTAGGTCATAGTGCACTAGGGAACCTGCTGGGCACACCAGCACACTCTGCATGGACCAGTTCATGTGTAATATGTTAGTGTGCTTTAGAAATCACACCCCACAGTCCACATTACTGCAGATAGATAAGTCCTTAGATACAAGTAACCATTTCTGGTATTTTATTGGTGTTCATCGGATACACACCAGTTTCATTTTTTTTGTACTGAGAGTGCTGTAGCAGTTCAAACTGAAAAATCAAAAGTCCTACCCTTGAGAGAACCAAGAGGAAAATCCTAACCTGTAAACATGAAACCTAGGTAACTCAAGCATGGATCACATCTTCCATCCTTAGATGACCATTTTCTTCAAGCAGAATTGGCACAAGGGTGTCCACAGCATGTGGCATGCCACTCACTACACCCCTGGAGGTACAGTAAGAGCATCAGAAAAAGGGCAGTAGTTGCTTCCAATCTAGTGAGAGCAGCATCCTCAGGACAGTAATTATAAGCTTACTTTGAGCACAAGAGGAACTGGAGTCTGGTGTAGCAGTTACAGATTCTTCTTGAGTTTTACCTGCTCTCAGGTCTGGAAGCATTATAGGTTCACCTGTGGTTTAATGACTATGAAGGCACAGAAGCTATAATCACAGTCTGTCTGGGGCAGAATGTATGGTTAGAAATCACTCACAAGATCTCCTAGGCCACAATGAGTACAATGGTCTACAGGTAAACATACCCTGAGGGAGATCTACTGCATCCCCTGTAAGTGTCCCAGCTGGTAGACTGAAACCAAGAGCAGCTTAAGTCTGCAGGCAAAGAATGAAGAGAACTGCAGATTCTGACTGGAAAGATGGAGCTCGACTCTCCACATGCTAAACAAAATGGCATCTTGCAGGCTTCCTTTATTCTTATATTCCTTCTTTCATTGTATTTATAAAAAACACTAAAGAGAGAAGACAGCAAAAACACACAAAGGCCAGATGTGGCGGGAGGGAAGGAGCAGGGAGAGGAGCAGAATGCTCCCTGCTTTCATTTCCAAGGAAGAGGCAAGAAGATTGATATAAAAGAGGTGAGGCTATGTCTTATACAGTGGAGGAGAATGATGGTTCCTTTGCCCCAGCAAGGTGGAGTAACTGACTCCTCAGAAATTTTCTTTGAAAGGATATGGAAGAGTAACACACAACGTGTTAGTCTGGTGTAGCTGAAGCAAAATACAGGACTATGTAGCACTTTAAAGACTAACAAGATGGTTTATTAGATTAGATCGTCTAATAAACCATCTTGTTAGTCTTTAAAGTGCTACATAGTCCTGTATTTTGCTTCAGCTACACCAGACTAACACGGCTACATTTCTATTACTACACAACAATTAGAACTACATTTTTACAAATTCATGAATCTATTCTTTTAGTGAAATCTAACACGTTTATAAGGAACTGAAACTGTTCTGTCATAGCATTTTATGTTAACTATAGAGATTCTTTTTAAAGCCATGTGTGTACCTTCCCCATGATACATAACTCTGATTAACAACTACTATACAGGGAACAAGGGGATTATGAGTGTGCAACAGAATGAAAACATTGCCATCATATTAACATAGACTGAACATTAACTCTGAATCTCTATTATCAATTAAGAAATATATTCAACATTAAAATAGTCAATTATTTGCAGATTTATAAATAGCACAGTAGATTTACATTCTGAGACTGTGCTTTGCAGGACTGGCCTCTGAAGCAAGTCATATGTAAGAACATGACCGGTTTAAACCATGCAGAACATAACAGTCCGGTGATGTTTAACTGAGAGAAGAGACTATTGTTAAAACAGCACACAAATGATTTCCACAATACTCACTGATCTTACCACAATACAGCTGCTTAAAGCAAATACATGTTAGCAGTGATACAGTTTGACAAATAACACAACTCAGCAGCAAAGTGGTTAAACATTTATGATTTGATTTTATCTCAGCCTGGAATGTCATTGGAGTGTCCCACTTCTAACAACTGTTTGCTAAGTTAAGGCTTTAGTGTTTACACAGTGCTGAATGAAGCAGCCTGGTCACCAGATGTGAATACTTCCATAGGCTGGAGCTTTCAATCATATCACAGTCCTAATGGTCCCTGCTCCAACCTTCTTCCTCAGGACGTCCACCAGTCTTTCCAACCTAGGATGGGGGCAAGGGGAGGAGGGAGGGAAGAAAATAAAAAAGAAGCTATCATTAGGAATGTTCAGCTGAGACTGTGTTTGCACTGAACCTAGCTCTCCTGGTGGTGGTCATGCTAAGAAACAAAGCATTACTGTAAAAGACAGACATGAGGGCAGAATGCAGACAACTTAGGAGAAACTTTTAACCTAGAGCCCAACCCAGTCACAGTCAGAGGTGTATATCAACTCATCTTTCCTCTGTGTATTTCATACACTATCTGAAATCCCCATGATACACTGGTTTACACAGGATTGTATGAATAAATCTTGCTGCAAATATGCTGTGATACACAAGCATCACACTAAATTCCTGGGAGGGGGGACCTCCTACTCTGTGGCTGTTTGCCTTCACTAAACAAAATACTCAATTGCCTTATTTTCGTTTAAAGCAAATCAGCACCTGTTACTAAAGCAATGTGTCCACGAGCAATGCTCCAGTGACAATGCAGCTATGTGGGTGGAGAACAGATGCTATGTGGATATAGAACAGTTCAGAAAAGGGCAACAAAATGATGAGGGATTTGTCACGGGTTCCATATAAAGAGAGATTAAAAAGACTAAGACTTTTCAGCTTAGAAAAGAGGAGACTAAAGGGTCTATAAAATCATGACTGATGTGGAAAAAGTGAATAAGGAAAAATTATGTCCTTGTTCTTATGATATAAGAATTAGGGGGTCACCAAATGAAATTAATAGGTAGCAGGTTTAAAACAAATGAAAGGAAGTTTTTCTTCATGTGGTGCACAGTCAACCTGAGGCACCTGTTGCCAGAGGATGTTGCGAAGACCAGGATTTTAACAGGGGTTAAAAAAGAACTAGATAGATTCATGGAGGTAAGGACCATCAATGGCTATTAGTCAGGATGGGTAGAAATGGTGTCCCTAGCCTCTGTTTGTCAGAGGCTGGAAATGGATGACAGGAGAGGAATCATGTAGTGATTAACTGTTCAGTTCACTCCTTCTGGGGTATCTAGCAATGACCACTGTTGGAAGGCAAGACACTGGGCCAGATGGACCTTTGGTCTAACCCAGTATGGCTATGTTCTACATTGACAGAAGGGTTTTTTTCACCAATGTAGTTAATCCACTTCTCTAAGAGGTGGTAGCCAGGTTGACAGAAGAATTCTTAGCTGCACCTACACTGGGAATTAGATTGACCTAACTAAGATGCTGAGAGTGCCATTTTTTCCACAGCTCAAAGCACTGTAGCTAGGTCAATCTCATTTTGAAGGGTAGAACAGGCTTTAGCTCAATTGTGCAAGGTGCCTTGCATATACTGTGTTTACTTCTAAAAATCCCATGTGTGTATATATCAAAGGTTCTTTTCAAAATATATGACTAGTCATGTTTCAGGGCTGAAAGTATAAAAGATGTTATTTCTACACCAGTTCATATGTTTCGAATTGATTACACAAACAAGAACATACAATACGTTAGGGTCAAACCCTGCGAACTTCAGTATAATCAATTCCCATAGACTTCAATGCAATGAGAGTGAGGGTATTCAATACTTTGTAAGATCAGGCGCTTCATTTCTTGTTCGTGGCATGTAGCCAAACCCAAATTCTAAATTTGTCCAGCAGTTTGCAGTCACACACATTTTTCTTAAGCATTCCATTGAAAGTGTATCTAGGTATTTCCTCAATTTATCTATTTTTAATGTAATCCTTCTAGTAAGGTTCCCCCATAAATAAACACATAGCATAAAGCTGGACATTGAGGAAAAGGGAATGTTTTCAGTGCCAGGCCCAGAGTATCATGCACACACCTCTCATGCTAGTTAACAAGAGTTATGACTTGTGATTCCAATTAGCTGGGTCTGGCAGCCAATGCACTCTGGCCCCATTCCTGGGTAGACCCCTGTCACCCCATGCTGCTGCCACACTATCAGAAGCAGCACAGCAGGCTGTCAGGCAGGAGCCAGTCCGCAAGTAGAGCCAGTTTAAAAACCAGCTTCCTGCAGAGATCAGCTGCCTGCCGCCCCGGGCTGCTGCCTCTGATAAAGAAGCAGCAGCGTAGGGTGGCAGCAGCCCCTGTCTGCTGAGGTCTGAGGTCCCCTGGCACTGCCACAGAGAGAGACTGGTCTGGCAGCAGCCCCTATCCGTGGGAAGGGGGGACAGAGGCTGTCTGAA